CCTGTGCATATAGTCTTGAAGATCACAGAATTACAGAATTGCCTAGATTGGAAAAGCCCTTTAAGATCATCCAGTCCAACCATGAACCCAACACTGACAAGTCCCCGACTAACCCTTGTCCCTCAGCACTGTGTCTACACGACTCTTCAATCCCTCCAGGGATGGGGACTCCACCACTGCCCTGGGCAACCCCTTCCAATGCCTCAGAACCCTTTCAGTGAAGAAATTCTTCCTCACATCCAATCTCAACTGCCCTAGCCACAACTTGAGGCCATTTCCTCTTGTCCTGTCACTTGTTCCTTGGTTGAACAGACAGACACATGTCCTTAGACAGCTGAGGACACCCCTGAAGCCAGGTTAGAAGTTTGGCAGGGAAACCAGGTGGTGACAAAATATCCCAGAGCCACCCATGAGAGTGGTCCAGCCCCTCACCCCCATCAGCACTCAATTTTGGACCTGCAGAGATCCACTCCAGCCATTCCACAGGCTTTTCAGGTCAATGTGTGTCTGGAACAACCTGGTTCCCTCCACCTGCCTACAGAGCAAGCCCAGAACTGCCAGACAAGAGAAAGGAAACTGCTACTTATCTCATTTGATTTTATTTTACTTCTTCTTTCTTTTTTGACCTCTCAGAAATGTGTTCAGTCTGGATTGAGGTTACAACCTGGGTAATGCCTCCCTGCCTAAAAAAAAATGGCTGTTACCATAACAACCTGACTCTGCACTTCATTACCATGGCAATTCGCAGGAATTATTAAATACTGTGTATGTTTGGTTCACGCGCTCCAGTACATCTGGTGCCAAGCTCAGGTTGGGATCCTCCCTCTCTCCTAATCTTTTTTTCTGTCTCAGCTTATTTAACTCTTTCCTTGTCCTCAACCAAGACTGCCAGGGCAGGGAGAAGGAGGTGGGTATCGTTTGGGACTTGATTTGGGTTTTTCCCCACCACAGGCAGGACTGTATATCCAGAGTTCCTGGGTTTTCTCAGGTGGGTCAAGCCACCTCTTTATTTTTCCAACTGTAAAATCAGTGATTGCAGAAGTAGAGGATTTCGCTTTGTAGGCAGGCTGCTCAGCAGGGAGAATGCTCTCACACTTGCCTTTCTCTGCTGTTTTCCTGCTCTTTGTCTAGAAATAAGATATTTTAACTGGAACAGAGTCATGGCAAGTGGCGACCAGCACAGAGACAGAGCTGTTCCTGAAGGAGGATTGTGAAGGTCCAGTGCAGGTTGCTCTTAGTGGGGGTCAAGAAGCAGTCCTCCATTAGTAGGATAACTTGATTGACCATATACTGCCTAAAATCATAATTGTTTTCAGAGACAGGATGCAGACTAGATGGACCAGTGGCTCAGACCAGTGTGGCCAGTCCCACAGGATTGCATTGCTACTCTGTGTTCCACTGCTAGGAGATGATTTTAAGTGAGACTCAATGCCGGGTCCTCAATCTGCCACTGATGTGATGATCCACCTAAGCATGTCCCTTCTCTCCCTGTCTCTCGGCTGTACTTTATAGCTAGCAGTGTCTCTCAGTCGTACTTGTACAGCTCCTGGCACCCCAGTAATGTTCTGGAAGCTAACACGCTACCAGCAACAATTTAAAAAAATAAATCAAAATAACATTAAATCAGTCTCCTTCAAAAAAACCAAAAAAAACCCCCAAAACCCCAAAAAACCTGCTTAAATTTTCTTGGGAGCCAGTATCCAGTTGCGAGCTTAAGCTAAATGAGTAGGTGTGAGACAAAAAAACACATCTATTTGTGGGGAAAGGCAGCAGAAAGGGCCATTATGATCTGCTTTCCTCACACAAGCCCTGGAGTAACCACCTCATCCTCTGGCCACAGGACTCGTGTCTCTGGGACAGGGCAGCTGGGTTTTCAAGGTCTGAGATGGCAGCTCTTCCCTTGAGATCTGGGGAGCATCACGGTGCCCTCAGCACCCTCCTTTCCACCAGGCATGAGCAGCACTGGCATCTGCTCTGAACGAACAGGGTGGAGAAGGAATCAGGGCAGTTAGAACAGCAACCATGATGGCACCTCAAGAGGGTCTTTAGACCCCAAATCTCTAACCCAAGGGGTTCCTTCACCACACCAGCTCTCCATTGCCTTCGTTCTGGTCTTCCCTTGCAGTCTCAGTGTTGGCATCAATTCTCCAGAGATTTTTCCCCAAAATTCCTCCTCCCAGTAGGATCATCAGCCTTTTATTGGGAATCTAACAGGATGGGGGCTTGTGTGCAAGTGTTTTAAACCCACTGCAAGCAAGACAGAAGCCCAGTAACCCCATGGGGACACATGCCATGTAATATGGCAAATGTGGATGGTGCCCACCAACCGCTTCACTCTGCAGACCCTTGTCTGTTGGTCCACACAACCTGGTAATGTAGATAATAGCCCTTATGGTCAGGAAAGAGACACAGCACAACTAGAGGATGAATAAGCCTATGCTTATTGCCCCAAGGGGACATGTGGAAAGTCTTTCCTCTCCTAATTGACTCCTGAATAAGCTCCATCTGTCTCAGCAGTTGCCCAGCTCTGCCTTCTTGGGCATTACATTGCTCCTCCACCTTGTGTATACACAACCCTACCATGGTTGACTTTTCTTCTTTCCTCTGGAAGACTCTACAGCACAGAAGGGACAAAGAGCACCACACCCCACTCCTGGATGTGGCCTCTAATGTCACATGGTGAGTTGGTGGCTCTGTGGCATTGCAGAGCCATATTTCCCCACTGGGCAGCAGGACCCTCCCAACACACACACCAACTCTCGCAGATGATAATTTGACCAGGTTCTTCACTCAGGGCATTGCTGCAGGTCAGAGTTAAGGTGATTTTGACCCTTTTTTCTTTGGATTAGCAGCTTCTCCTGTGCCTTGCTTGTATTGCTGACACCAGAAGGTTTCTTCCATCATCTCCGAATTCTGCGTTGGGACCATGGCTGGTGGATGGATTGGCAAGAGGGACCAAATGCCAGCTGAAAGCAGAAGCTGGAAGGGAATTTAGTGGGCTGTCCTCTGATAGCACAGTGACCCAAAGATGTAGTTACACATTTAGGTTACACATGCAAGTACACTCCTAAGTGTTTGCAGAGCTGGGTCATCATGTGTTGGGGTTATTTTTATCTCACCCTGATGTTGTGACCAGGCTGTGTTCCCACAGTGGGAGCAGTTTGTCCTCATATGCAAAGAAATCAATGGCCAAAACACTCCCTTCAGCAGCAGGGACCAAAATCTCCTTCCACGCTGCTGCCACTTTTACTTCTGCTAGCAGGTCAGCAAGCCCTCCGTGCTGAGAACACTGCTCAGGTACGCAGAGCAATGAGCTGCTGGTAAAAATCACAGCGCTGCCTGTTGAGTCTGTTCACTGGCACCAATGGGATGTTTCAGAGCTCTGAATCCCAAATTCCAGTCCTGCTGCCATGTTGTCTTTGTGCTCTTAAGGTCATACAGACAACAGGTTAGTGAGAGCAACCAGTGACCATGGTCAACTGGTCCTGCTCTGTGTTGGGTTTAGTCCACCAATACCCTGTGGGAACCTTGAAGAAGGTGCTCAGCAAATATTGATTAATTACAAAACGTATTCTAATCTTGTTTTTACTTCTGGGAAAAGCAAAAAGCTGTTCTTCTGGATTTACATCCAAGTAGATCAGCTCATCAGCTCCTCCAAGATCCAGGACTGCTTTCCCACTACAGAAGTGGACCCAGCAG